CCCAAGTAGCTGGGACTACAGGCGTCCGCCACCATGCCTGGCTAATTTTTTTGTATTTTTTAGTAGAGACGGGGTTTCACCATGTTAGCCAGGATGGTTTCGATCTCCTGACCTCGTGATCCACCTGCCTCGGCCTCCCAAAGTGCTGGGATTACAGGCATGAGCCACCGCGCCCGGCCAGGAAGCCCCATGTTTTAAGGAGCCCTCTGGGTAACTCTCATGTTCCCCCAAGCTGCTGAACCCTGTGCTGGAGTTTCCAGAAGGAAGCGATAAGGACGGGGCAGCGTATGTGCGACAGAGCGTCCCGCTGGTGGGGGTCACGGGAAGCCATGCCCTGGGATAGAGAGAGTCGTCCGTAGAGTGGGGTGAACATTCCCTGGCCCCTCTGTCTCATCACTCCTCTTCTCTGTTCCCCCCACCTCCTGACCACAGTGGATACTGAGGCTGTGTGGCTGCTTCAAGGCTGGCTCTTCCAGCACCAGCCCCAGTTCTGGGGGCCCGCCCAGATTGGGGCTGTGCTGGGGGCTGTGCCTCGTGGCCGCCTCCTGGTTCTGGACCTGTTTGCTGAGAGCCAGCCTGTGTACACCCGCACCGCCTCCTTCCAGGGCCAGCCCTTCATCTGGTGCATGCTGCACAACTTTGGGGGAAACCATGGTCTGTTTGGAGCCCTGGAGGCCGTGAACGGAGGTCCAGAAGCTGCCCGCCTCTTCCCCAACTCCACCATGGTAGGCACGGGCATGGCCCCCGAGGGCATCAGCCAGAACGAAGTGGTCTATTCCCTCATGGCTGAGCTGGGCTGGCGAAAGGACCCAGTGCCAGATTTGGCGGCCTGGGTGACCAACTTTGCTGCCCAGCGGTATGGGGTCTCCCATCCAGACGCAGGGGCAGCGTGGAGACTACTGCTCCGGAGTGTGTACAACTGCTCCGGGGAGGTCTGCAGGGGCCACAATCGCAGCCCGCTGGTCAGGCGGCCGTCCCTACAGATGAATACCAGTGTCTGGTACAACCGATCCAGTGTGTTTGAGGCCTGGCGGCTGCTGCTCACATCTGCTCCCTCCCTGGCCGCCAGCCCTGCCTTCCGCTATGACCTGCTGGACCTCACTCGGCAGGCGGTGCAGGAGCTGGTCAGCTTGTACTATGAGGAGGCAAGGAGTGCCTACCTGAGCAAGGAGCTAACTTCCCTGTTGAGGGCTGGAGGCGTCCTGGCCTATGAGCTGCTGCCGGCGCTGGACGAGCTGCTGGGAAGTGATAGCCGCTTCTTGCTGGGCAGCTGGCTGGAGCAGGCCCGAGCAGCGGCCGTCAGTGAGGCCGAGGCCGATTTCTATGAGCAGAACAGCCGCTACCAGCTGACCCTGTGGGGGCCAGAAGGCAACATCCTGGACTACGCCAACAAGCAGCTGGCGGGGCTGGTGGCCAACTACTACACCCCTCGCTGGCGGCTCTTCCTGGAGGCGCTGGCTGACAGTGTGGCCCAGGGCATCCCTTTCCAACAGCACCAGTTTGACAAAAATGCCTTCCAACTGGAGCAGGCCTTCGTCCTCAGCAAGCCGAGGTACCCCAGCCAGCCACGAGGAGACACTGTGGACCTGGCCAAGAAGATCTTCCTCAAATATTACCCCCGCTGGGTGGCTGGCTCTTGGTGATAGATTCGCCACCCTGGGCCTTGTTTTCCACTAACTCCAAGCCGGGGCAGGTTCCAGGGCCTGGAGCTGGACAAGCATCACAGGATAACCCAGGCCTGGGAGGAGGCCCCATGGCCTGCTGGTGGGGTGTGGCCTGGGGCAACTGGAGGGAAATGAACTGCCCTCCACCACCACCCAAAGTGTGGGATTAAAGTACTGTTTTCTTTCCACTTAAACTGATGAGTCCCCTGGGTCTGTCAGAATGAGAAGGTCACTGCTGCCATGATTGGGAGGACTCAGGGCTATAGCATGGCCCCGGGGTGGGACCTGTTCTCCCATCCCTTGCCTCACATCCCTGTTTTTGTTTGTTTTTTTGTTTTGTTTTGTTTTGTTTTGTTTTAGATGGAGTCTTGCTCTTTGCCCAGGCTGGAGTACAATGGCACAATCTTTGCTCACTGCAAACTCTACTTCCTGGTTTCAAGCGATTCTTTTGTGTCTACAAGCTTACACCACCACTCCCGGCTAATTTTTATATTTTTAGTAGAGACGGAGTTTTACCATGTTGGCCAGGCTGGTCTTGATCTCCTGACCTCAAGTGATCCACCTGCCTTCCTGCCTTGGCCTCCCTAAGTACTGGGATTAGAGGAGTGAGCCATAGTGCTGGATCACATCCCTGTTTTTAATACTAACCCCTCTCCTTTGAAAGGAGAATGCCTCCTGTTGAAGGAAAACCTCTTTTTTTTTTTTTTTTAGAGACAGTCTCTCTCTGATGCCCAGGCTGAAGTGCAGTGTCGCCATCTTGGCTCAGTGCAGCCTCCGCCGCCTGGGTTCAAACAATTCTTCTGCCTCAGCCTCCGGAGTAGCTGGGACTACAGACGCGTGCCACCACGCCGGGCTAATTATCGGCCAGGCAGGTCTCGAACTCCTGACCTCATCATCAGCCCGCCTCAGCCTCTTAAAAAGAGCTGGGATTACAGGCATGAGCCACTGCTCCTGGCCAGGAAAACCTTTTTTCAAACAGTGTTTTCCTTAGCTGTCATGCCACAACAAGTCACCAACACAGGAGACTTCTGTCACCAAATATTTGGAGAATTTTTCCCACGCGGCAAGCAGTGAAGAGCAGCTGGGTGTCCTCAAGTTCAGTTCCAATGTAATCAACCAGAGACGGCGTCAGATACCACAGGGTGAGGGCACAGACTCATGAGACTACACCCTCCTTCCCACAGGTCACAAGTCCTGGTCCCGACAACTTCTGACTGACTGGCTTCAAGTTGGAGTTCCTGAGACCCCCTTCCCCTCTATGGAGTCAACTCATTTGCTCTAGTGACCCAAAAAACACAGGGAAACCCTTATTTACTGCTTTATTACAAGGAAAATTTTTTTCTCTCTTCATTTTTTTTTGAGACAGGGTCTTAGTCTGTCACCCAGAGTGAGTACAGTGGCAGGGTCTGGCTCTGTCACCCAGGCTGGAGTGCAGTGGCACGATCTTGGCTCACTACAGCCTTGATCCCCCACCAAGTAAGCTGGGACTCCAGGCACACACCACCACACCCAGCTAATTTTTAAATATTTTTTCTAGAGACCGGGTCTCACTCTTGCCCTGGCTGGTCTTGAACTCCTGGGCTCCAGCAATCCCCCTGCCTCAGTTTCCCAAAGTGCTGGGATTACAGGCATGAGCCACTGTGCCCAGCCTCGAAGGATATTTTAAAGGTTAGAAATAAATAGCCTGATGAAGAGATACAGACAGGCCGGGCGCGGTGGCTCAAGCCTGTAATTCCAGCACTTTGGGAGGCCAAGATGGGCGGATCACGAGGTTAGGAGATTGAGACCATCCTGGCTAACACGGTGAAACCCCGTCTCTACTAAAAAATACAAAAAACTGGCCGGGCGCGGTGGCTCAAGCCTGTAATCCCAGCACTTCGGGAGGCCGAGACGGGTGGATCACGAGGTCAGGGGATCAAGACCAGCCTGGCTAACACGGTGAAACCCTGTCTCTACTAAAAAAAATACAAAAAATAAAACTAGCCGGGCGAGGTGGCGGGCGCCTGTAGTCCCAGCTACTCGGGAGGCTGAGGCAGGAGAATGTCGTAAACCCAGGAGGTGGAGCTTGCAGTGAGCTGAGATCGGGCCACTGCACTCCAGCCTGGGCGACAGAGCGAGACTCCGTCTCAAAAAAAAAAAAAACACCCCAAAAAACTAGCCGGGCGAGTAGTCCCAGCTACTTGGGAGGCTGAGGCAGGAGAATGGCGTAAACCTGGGAGGCGGAGCTTGCAGTGAGCTGAGATCCGACCACTGCACTCCAGCCCGGGCAACAGAGCGAGACTCCGTCTCAAAAAAAAAAAAAAAAAAAAAAGATACAGACAGGGTGGTCTGGAAGGGTCCAGAGCAGGAGCTTCTATCTCTGTAGAGTTTGGGTTACATCACCCTCTGGGCACATGGATGAGTTCTTCACCTTCTGTCAGCCTCCACGTGTTGAGCTCTCAGAAGCTCCCCGAACCCTGTCCTTTGGGCCTTTTATGGAGAACTCCATTGGCTGTCCATGATTGAAGCATGGACAACTGTGATAATGTGACTGGGCAAAAAGGGTCTGATCTAAGCCTAGCAAGGCTGGTCCAGATTCTTTGGGCCTTTGTGCAGCATTCCTTTCTCCAGGGTATGGGGCAAGGACCCACTCTGGAATGAGGATCCTACAACCACAATCAGATTAGAGTCCTGCCTTGGGCAGCTGAAAAGAGGACAGGAGAAGGTCAGAGAGAGGAGAGGCTGTTTTTTGACGCCTGAGGTGCCCCAACATTACAATGAAAGACTAACCATGGTCATGTGAGTTATGAGCTAGGAACTGTGGACAAAACCAACACATATACAATCATCTCCCACGTCCTAGCGCCTTTACTTTCACAACCTCTGCAGCAAACTGTGGTCACTATAATTGCTCCGGTGGCACAGAGGCATACCCAGGGGAATATTCCCCGGGGGCTACTCTGTGCCCACGTGGGAACCCACACCTCCCCTCCCTCTGACCAGCAACCAGGACAGTTTGGTGTTCCAAGCAGTGGGCTCATGTCTGTTTTGGCTCAGAACAGGGTGGGGAGATCGGGCCAGGGACCCGCAGGAGGGCTTATCCTTGAGATTGCGTGGGAGACACAACAAGGGGTGGGGGCCTGCGGGCGGGGCGGGGCGAAGCAGGTGATATCCAGCCCAGAGCCCCAGCCTCTCCCCACAGTCTCACCATGGCCCGCACCGTGGTGCTCATCACCGGCTGCTCCTCGGGCATCGGCCTGCACTTGGCGGTACGTCTGGCTTCAGACCCATCCCAGAGCTTCAAAGGTATAGATAGGTAGGGACAGGGAGGGAGAGAAGGGAGGAGCCCCTGGAGGCCAGAAGACAAGTCAGATCTTCCTTCTCTCCCAAAACCTCCAGTATATGCTACATTGAGGGACCTGAAAACACAGGGCCGGCTGTGGGAGGCTGCCCGGGCCCGGGGATGCCCTCTGGGATCCCTAGAGACGTTGCAGCTGGACGTAAGGGACTCAAAATCCGTGGCCGCTGCCCGGGAACGCGTGACTGAGGGCCGTGTGGACGTGCTGGGTGAGCCTCCCAGAAACACATGGGCTCCTAGGAGCTTTCTCCACCCTGCCTTCAACCCAACATGTCCCGAGGCCCAGGGAGCACGAGGGCACAGGCTGTGCTGAGGGTGATGCTGAGGGTGATGCTGAGGCAGGCTGGTCGGGCCTCTGTCCCTGCAGTGTGTAACGCAGGCCTGGGCCTACTGGGGCCGCTGGAGGCGGTGGGGGAGGACGCCGTGGCCTCTGTGCTGGACGTGAACGTGGTGGGGACGGTGCGGGTGCTGCAGGCCTTCCTGCCAGACATGAAGCGGCGCGGTTCGGGACGCGTGTTGGTGACCGGGAGCGTGGGAGGATTGATGGGTGAGTGGTAGGTACTGGCCTCCACAGCTCCAGATTGTGTGGGGAGCTGAGCCTTGAAAGCAGGCTCCGGTGGGAGGGTAGGGGGAGGGGTACAGTCAGCTTGGAGGGGCACCGCCTTCCCGGGTATGACCCCCTGGCCCCTGGGCCTCAGGAACCTCGTCTCCCCACCTAAGGGCTACCCTTCAATGACGTTTACTGCGCCAGCAAGTTCGCGCTCGAAGGCTTATGCGAGAGTCTGGCAGTTCTGCTGCTGCCCTTTGGGGTCCAGTGAGTCAACACCTCCGTCTCCCCAACCCTCTGAACTCTGACCTAGAGACCCCGAGCACCCCGTCATGCGGGAGCTGCTCTGGGGCGATCTCCCTGGCCCTCCCTGCCCAGCTCACTTTTGCTGTGTGCCAGGGCTCCCGCGTAGCCTCAGATGGATTTGGGAGGGCTGCTCCAGCAGGAACCCGCGTTTCAAATGTTCTGGTTATCACCAGCACCCTTTCTGCCTCACTGCGCAGCGCAGCAGTGCGGGGCCCGGGACGTGGTCGGGGCTGGGGCTGGAGTTGGGGCTGGGACTGGTGCCTGGCTCGCGTCCGCCCCCGCCCACTCGTTGCTCTCGGGCCGGCAGCTTGAGCCTGATCGAGTGCGGTCCAGTGCACACCGCCTTCATGGAGAAGGTGTTGGGCAGCCCAGACGAGGTGCTGGACCGCACGGACATCCACACCTTCCACCGCTTCTACCAATACCTCGCCCACAGCAAGCAGGTCTTTCGCGAGGAGGCGCAGAACCCTGAAGAGGTGACGGAGGTGAGCGCGGGACTGGACTCCGGGAGCCGGGGCGGTGCGTCCTCCAGCGCGCATTGGTGGCCAGAGCGCTCCTTCCGCTGCCGCAGGTCTTCCTCACCGCTTTACGCGCCCCGAAGCCGACCCTGCGCTACTTCACCACCGAGCGCTTCTTGCCGTTGCTGCGGATGCGCCTGGACGACCCCAGCGGCTCCAACTACGTGGCCGCCATGCACCGGCACGTGTTCGGGGACGATCCAGCAGAGGCCGAGGCTGGGGCCGGGACTGGGGGCGGGGCCGGGCCCAGTGGGGTGGGGGACCCTGAGCTCGGCGATCCTCCAGCCGCCCCGCAGTAAAGTCTTCCACAGCCGCTGTCTCCCTCGCCCTTCTTTGTCCTCTGGGTCTGTGTGGTCCCTGGGGACGGGGCGGCGGTGGTGGTGGCGGCGGCTGTGGGTGGCTAACTAAGATACATCGCGTTAGCCAGTTTTACCAGAGCAGCTAGGCGCAATGGCTGTCGCCTGTAATGCCAGCGCTTTGGGAGACGGAGACAGGAGGATTGCTCAAGCCCTGGAGTTGGAGACCAGCCAGAGCAACATAGTGAGACCCCTATCTCTACAAAAATAAAAAACTTAAAAATCAGCACAGTGGCACCATTCCTTGAGCCCAGGAGTTGGAGGGTGCAGTGAGCATGATGGGGCCACTGCACTCCAGCCTGGGCGACAGAGTGAGACCCGTCAATTAATCAAACCAACCAACCAACCGAGCAACTCAGAAACCGAAGTCCAGAAAGAAGCAGCCCAGGATCACGCCTCAAGTCCACGTTAAAGCCCAGACACAGTCTCTGGATACCCAATGGGCATCTGCAGGAGGAGTTAGGTGGCACTTGGGTTGGAGTAGAGTCAGGTTATGACCTGGACCCTATTAGCCATGAGACTTCAGGCAAGTTCCTTACTTTCTCTGAGTCTTTCTTTTCTTTCTTTCTTTCTTTTTTTTTTTTCCTGAGATAGAGTTTTGCTCTTGTTGCCCAGGCTGGAGTGCAATGGGTTGATCTCGGCTCACCACAATCTCCGCTTCCCGGGTTCAAGTGAGTCTCCTGCCTCAGCTCGGATTATAGGCATGCACCACCATGCCCGGCCCTTTTTGTATTTGAAAATACAAAATACAAAAAAAAATTTGTATTTTCAGTGGAGATGGGGTTTCTCCATGTTGGTCAGGCTGGTCTCAAACTCTTGACCTTACGTGATCCGCCCGCCTCAGCCTCTCAAAGTGCTGGGCATACAGGCATGAGCCACCCCATCCGGCCCTCTGAGTCTTTCTCATCTGTAAAATGGGTATAATAATGCCTATCTAATGGGTTTTAGTAATGGTGGAGATAATGCCTGAAAGTGCTGGTATAGAGGTCTTTTTTTTTTTTTTTTTT